TAACGACAAGAACAGACAAGAGCAGAAACGGGTTTCGAATTGGATTTCGTCTTTAGTATTTTTTTAATCTCTTTCTTGACTTTTTACAGTTTTCTCTGCATTTGTGCAATAAATATGAATAGTATTAAATAAATAATGTACAAAAAGAAGTGATATGTTTTTGTTTGCTCATTTATTTGACCTTGTGGACTTGTTTAGCACACAAACAGCAAGAGCGCGAGTAAAAGAGAGAGCGGGGGGAAATACACTCAATTTAATAAACTAACGGAAGATTGGAAGGGAGTGCAGGCAAAGGGGACAACTGTTTGCTTCTGGGGGTTGCCGTTAAACCCAAAAATTTATAAATAAATATATTAAGTTGAATGCTTCGTCCCCTCTGATTGCCCTTAGGGACATGTTCATAAAGATAAAGATAGTGTCTGTTTGTGTGTGTGTTTGCATGTGCCCCATCAATCAAGTGGCGTCAATATTTATGACCTCAAATAATCACAACGCAACAAAGAAGCGAAATGGAAAACTAAAGCGCAACGAAGTTTGTATACCTTTAAGAACTTTTCCTTCCTTTAGTTCAGGTAGCATGAATGAGTCAAATATCACACCAAAACAGAATACCCCACCAGAAAGGGTAAATAAACCAAAAGAGAGTAAAGAGAAATGGTAGAATGAAGCATTTTTGGCTTCTAATTAGTTGCCGTTACACTCCAGGCATGTCTGCATCTCCCCGCTTTCCTTCCAGAAATAAATATGTATTTTTCTTGTCTCTTTTTCAGCTGTTTACAAATTATATTTGTTTTCCTCCTCCCCACACTCCACATTCTCCACAATTTCTTTCGTTCTCCTCTATTTTTTCGTCAGCTAATTTATGCAAACAATTTTCAATGAGGCGAAAGACCTCATCGTGGCGGGACAGCACTGGGGGCGGGAGCGAGTCTCCAGAAATAAAAATGCGGGCAAATAGGTTTTTCGTAGGAGGAGAACACACCACTATACGGTCGGTCGGTCCACTGGGAATGCGAAATTGGAAAAGTGGAAAAACGAAATTACATAAAATTCGAGATGCGGCGACAAAAGTTGGGCAATCAACAGATTTAGTGTCTGGAACTTGGCTCGGTAATAGGGAAATATATTTTTAATGGCGAAATGACATCAAAATAATAGTGATGTAGGATTTATGATGATCTATAACCATATAAACAGATCGTAAACAGCATTTCATGGGAATGCTCAAGTTCTTAATGAAAATACGGGAATTATAATATTAATCGGGGATTGGAATTGGAATTGGAATTCACTCAAACATTCCCTTATGGCTGTCCAATTGTAAATCAAATGTAAGCAACCATCCAACAGCTGTTGGAGGGGCAGTGTTATTCCAATCAGATTGACAGTCCATGCAAGTGGAAGGGCCTGGAGTGAGAGTGCGAGTGTGAGAGAGGGGGGTGGGGGAGCGAGAACAACTGGAAATGGCAGGGCCATGGAGTTGCTCTAAAAATAAAACATCAAAGCGCATTGCAATGCAGAGAAACAGCAACGCAACAACAAGAAAGGGACCGAAAATAAAAACGAAACAAAATGAAGCACGAAAGGATTTACGAGCTTGATCGAAAACAACAACAACACGAATACACATGTACCTTTGGCCTGCGGAAGGGAGAATGAGAGATGAAATTTAGTGAGTGGAGAGCATGCAAAGTATCACGATGATGAGAGTGCACTTTGAGTGCTGCAGTAGAAATCAGAGGCGTAGCCAAAGGTCATGACAACAGAAGACAATCTCTATCCCCCTTTTGCAGCACATTCCACTACGCTCCTCTCTTTACGCTCCCACTGTTCCAACTTTCCATATCTGCCAGCGTAAGGGAAATTTATATAAAGAGATACACATTTCCTTTTGGAGGAGGGCTAAAAATAGGAATGCAGCCGACGAAAGAGAAAAGGAAACACACTTAAAAAGTGGTAATGGAGACAACGCCTTCATCATGTGTCGCGTCTCCCTTCCCATTTCTGGCATCCCGCGCACACCCTTTGCCTGAGTGTCTTTATGGCAACAATTATGTTTGAGCATATAAAATGATTGAAGAAATATTTATGCGACTTATTCATTATGGGAGTTTCTGTTTGTGGGATTGTTGGGGAAAGGGGAAAAGCTAAAGAGTCAACAATTTCCATACCTTGCTGCGTCACCTGTTTGCCTCCTGTGTCCGCCCATTAGCCTTGCGAAAAGTTCATTTGCCTCGACTCATAATTTCCCGCTTGCATGTCAAGCAAACCCGGAGTCCAACACCAACACGCACACCAACAGCAGAGAGAGAGAGGATGACGAAGCTTTAAATGCCCTTGCAGATCGTTGCTTTGGTAACTGAATTCGATAGTTTCCGATCGTGGAAGATCTTTTATACTACGTGGAGAAAAAAGAGTAGTCCGTTCAAATTTCCAGCTAGTTAGCATTAGCAACGAGCTTTATCCATATGTGCTCTGTAAACATCTGTTGACAATCATAATACTCTTTGCAAGGGTATAACAAGGCTACTCAGATTACCATGCGACTGTATGTGGGACGGAGGGAGGCCGAAACAGCAAACAACACTTCATATTCGCTTTGTCTCTCGCTCTCTCGTTGTGCAAAGGAGTTGTTGCCTCTCCCACTTGAGTCTATTTTTGAGACGTCGCTCTTGTCAACTTGCGTTTGTATTTGCCAGTGTGTTAGTGTGCGGTGGGGGAGTGCATGGAATGGCAATTGGCAACTCCATTGAGGCATCAGCTTAGGCCATTTCTTTCCCACAATCCTTTCGCCTCCCTTTCCTTCCCCACCCAAACGTATCTAATTACATTTGTCTCGTGTAACAGAATCTGCAACTACAACTTGCGCCCTCCCACATCGTGTGTTCAAAGTGGGGTGATGAGTGGGAAAAAACTTTTTGATTAAGCCAGGCTTAGGGTTCAGCTCTGATTTGACCGCTCTCTGTCCACTGTGCCTCTCTCTGTGTCGTCAATTGTCATGTTAGTTGTTTTCTCGTGTGTTTGTGTGATTGAGTTGGAGTAAAGTTCCGCAACTGTCTGTCTGCCTGTACCACTCTCTCTCCTGAGATCGACCTGGCGCTGCCAACAATTGCGGTGAGTCTCTGCTTTCGGTTTTTGGTAGTTGTTTTCTGTTTGCTGGCGGCTTGAACCCGTAATCGGTAGCCCCAGACACAGTTTTTACATTGTAATTCCGTAATTGCATTTTGCAGGCAGACCAGACACACGAACAAACAAAGAAACAGCACCAAAAGAAAAAAAAAACAATTGCATCTGCTGCAGCACGGCTTGTCTCTCCGTACTCTTATAAAACTCACACGAACATGGATAAGGTACATTTTGATAATTTGGGATATTTCTGTGGGAATTTTCTCTCACAAATCTCGCAAATGTCATCATGTTGTTTTTCCTAGTGTGTTTTTTTGTGTTTTAACGATATTTCTGCGTAACTGCCATTACATGGAGATGCATGACTCAATCCGAGCGTGTTACAAACATATTTACAAGGAAATTGGCTTATCAGTAGAGACTCGAGTGCATACTGCGACTAATTATAATAAAAAGAACATTAATTGATTACAAATTGCTCAAGCGGCTGGATCAGAGCGGGAGCAAGAAAGGAAAGGCTCCGCAAGAGTGAGATAAGAAGCAGAAAGAGAAAGAGCACAGAAAGAGAGTGCGAGAAGTGATTTAAAGAGCAGAAGCTGGAATGGTCATGGAATATTCCACATTAAATTATATTCTCACCCTAAAAACGCACTCAATTATCAAACTATCAAAACGGACAAACGCTTTTCCTGTATCCCAATCCGAAAAACCCCAAAAGACTCAATAGAAGCCCCCATTGCGGTAGGACAACAGCGCCGGTGGCGACGACAGGGACATAAAAAAGCTATTAGAAACGGATAGGAAGTGGGAGAACAGATGAGAGGGCGGAAACAGGCGACAGGGAAAAAGGGAAATGTTGCAACTTGCCAAAGCAAATAACAGGAAAATGTGAGACAAGAGGAATAGGAAAAGCAAACGAAAATAAGGCAAATAAAAATGTGCGTGAGTGCGTGAAATGGGAGGAAGAACCACAAAGGGGAAGGGGAAGTAAATATAGGAAATGCCACTGTCAGCGGGGGTGGGATTGGGATTGGTATTGGGATGCGTAGGTCACAATTTCAACCACTGTTCGGGTGGCAGGGATAAGGGTGCAGCAGGATAATGGAAAAGATGAAATAGCAGGGGCAGGGGGGGCACGGAAACCGCCCTGAACAGACGGCGGGCGACTCAACATTTCCATCAACTCGAGAAGTGGGCGGGGAGCAGACGCCCACGAGACGCGTGCGGGACACGACGGCGGCGACGGCTTCACTTCTCTCTCTTTTCTGTAAACAAAAGCAAATCCCAAAGCAAACCAAAAGCAGAGCAACAACTACAACTAGCCGGCAACAACAAATAATGAGAGACGGAACGCACATTCCGCCTTCTATGATAATCGGAAGCAATGAAATGAAGAAATTGGCTCAATTGGAAAGCAGCAGGGAGATCAGAACAGCGCAAAGAAGAGAGTGAGAGTGAGAGCGAGAGTGCATGTGTGTGTGTGTGTGTGGGTGGGCGGCTGCACTACACTACACTGTGCATCACAGTAAAGAATGAACAAGGAACAATAAACATCACTAGACAAGGGGGTTCGTTTCTGCTTAACATTTATTTACAAGATATTTACTCCACTGTGGATCCCAGAATTTACATGACAGATACATATTTACACCTGATAATATATGTAATGATTTTGTTGCAGCACAGTGTACATTCGACATGCATTAATCTGTTTGTTTTGGGGTGTGTATACACTTGTTAAGTGCATTTCAATGTTGGGTGCTAGGGGGTTCTTCTCTTAATTCATCTTGCTATGTATGTACACTGTGTCTTTCTACCGCAGGCATGCATGCAGGCATCCGATGCCTAACCCGACTATACGCTTCGGCACTTACCGTTATGTTCGGTGAATATGTTGAGTCCCACGGAGGGATTACACCTCGCATCCTTGTGGGCATTGCTGCGCTGTGATAATCCTCCAGAGACGCCGCCGCCGCTGCTGCTGCCACCGACTCCGCTGCTCCCACCGCCACTGCCATGACCATGACCCGTCGACGATTTGATGCGCGAACCACGCAGTGTGGAGCCCGCCCCTAGTGGACCGCCGCCGCCACCACTGCTGCTGTTGCCAGCACTGATGCAATGGGGGGAAACGGAGGCCACGGGACTGCTGCTGCTGGAAACGCCAATGCAACTTACTGGGACTCCACCACCGCCCCCACCGCTCGAGTGCGAGCCGCGCTCCTTTCCCTGCTGAGCACCCATTTCAGGAGTGGAGGTGGAGCTGGGAGCTGCTGCTGCTGCTGTGGCTGGGTGGTGGGTTGTGGGTCGTTGCTATCGCTCTTGCGCAGCAATAAACAATTTGTACACTCTTTTTGCTCCGCTCCGCCTTCGGGAGATATACTGTGATTTTTTCTTTCTCTCCGCTTGACTTCAGCCAACACTTGCGATCAATTATTTGCGTTTGCTTTGGATTTTCTTGAATTTATTTTATTTCATTTCATTTTTCGCTCTCTGCTGCTTCCACACACACACACACTCGCGCATTTTCTTTCTCCACTCTCTTCTCTGCTCTTTCTGCGTTTTCTACTTCACTTGGCAATTTGGAGTAGACAAAAAAATTGGAGACATACGACGAAAGGAAGGAAGTTTGCGAAATGTTACGCCAACCTTTTCTCTCGCTCTCTCTCCCACTTTCGTTTTGTTAGGCAAGGTGCAGCAGCAGATGCATAATTTGTTGCATGTTTGCTGGAGCTTTAACTTTTTGCATCTCCGCTGAGCCGCAGACTGCTCTGCTGCGGGTGGATGGTTGGTACCGGGAGCGAGTACTGGGGGGGCCACAAACACGCCCTAAAACTGCACTTTTGTCTTTGGTGCCGCCGCCTGTAGCTTGCTCGCCCACTTTTCACACGGCTTGTTTATATCGCGCCGATCGAATTTACCATATTATAGCTGGAGCAGCAACAACCGAACTTTTCACTGTTTTATCTATATCTAAACATTTTCTTTTTTTTTGGTATTTAATCGCTGCCGCGAAATTGGATGGTCGCACGACGATGAGTCCGTATTGACCAGGTACTTCAGTTCGATGATGGGGCTGTCGATATTTTCTTGACTATCGATGGTTGTTAATGAGACAATGCATGGTGTATGGTGTTGCATTGGTATATTCTTAGAATTTCGTGTAGTGGCACCTTGACTATCGCAGAGAATTACAGTTTTGCTGGATCTTTTTATATTAGATATCTACTGCCGTCAATTCTGAGTTTATAACACGGATGAGGAACTATTTCATTTGAACTATAGCTATTGTTTCCAGGGTAATCTAGGATACCTACACTATTTCCACCATCGATGGTGGCCACTATCGATGTTTTCCCAGCCCGAGTTACCTGCGGCACTATCGATAAAGTATATCAAGTTATACCTTCTCATTATAAAAATATACCGTAGTCTTAAATTATATTCCTCGATTTTGATGTTCTATTTGATTTTACTAGCTTGCAAAGACTTTCACCACTGAAACAATAATTTAATCCGTTTGAAGAATCAATTTGACGTATTTTAAATACTAATTGTTCTTGGTTTGTATACTTTATTATCTAATATTTTACAAATTCAAACATTCAAATCACCCCTTCTCGAAGCAAGGGAGCTTTGTATACAGTATGTAAGTGTATGTAACATGTAGAGACACATGTTTGTTAACTGACATCATACAATGTTTTTTAAAACTGCGCACGCAACTAAAGAGAAGCAATTTATTTTTCTGAAAGGGAAAGGGAACGGGGCAGTTCTTCCATGTTTAAAACATAATTAGGGGTAAAATCCGATTTTTCCGCCCGATATTACATTTTACATATATAAATTCTATATAATATATAATTAATTATATATTATTTACCATATCAATTATTACATACAAAAATTCCAGGTAAATTAAAAATTGTTATATGAAATCCATCAAGTCCTTAGGTAGTTAATATGTATCACTCTTGTAGTTCGCGTGTAGTTGCAGCCACATGCAAATGTATGCTGTCAAATGAAAGACAGGAGGTGGGAATGCAATTTAAGTTGCGATGAAAATTCGCATGTTGGGAGTGAGAAATTGTAGCGGCGAGCTCTTAAGAGGAGTGGTTCGTTGCCACTTCCTTCCGTGTGAGCGCCACTGAGTAACTACAATGTAGATGTCATGTCGATAATAATGTATCCGAGGCAGAACGGATTTTCAAACATTGAGTAAAGTTTCTACCTTCTCGGTTGCCGATTCATAAAATTCCTCCCAAAAACAAGATAAACACAATCCCTTTTTGTTTGGTTTTCCATCCTTTTCCTTTTGTTACGTTTTATTTATCCGTTTGTTTTTGTTTTTTAGCATTTTCAAACATTATTAGCTTTTGTTTTTGTTTTTCGCTTTTGTTTAGTATGGTATAACCGACAAAAATTGCAAATTTGTTCGTTTCAATTTCTACCACTACGGCGGGAGGATCGATCCATATAGGATACCCATCCCACTCATTCACTCGATCATCTTTCGCTTTCAGTTTCAGTTTCAGTTTCAGTTACAGTTTCCTCGTTTACACTAAATTAACTTTTCAAGTAGGACTTTGCTTTTCATTTCCTTGCTTTATCTCTCTTTCTCTCTCTCTCTCTCTCTGTCTCTCTCCCTCTAGCTTCCACATTCTGTTTTTGCTTACACATAGAAATATATAATTTAAGCTTTTGTTACGTTCAAGGACTTTCTTTTTGTGTGCGTAGAAACTGTAAGTTTTGGTTTTGTGGCTTTTCCGGAATGAAAAACTACTCAAAAATGCATGGTCAAAGGTTAACTAAATAAATGCCTTCCCCTAACATAACTCTAAATATAATATATAGTTTTGAATGCCTTAATATTTGCGGATGCCTTAAATGGTGGATGCACTTTTCAAAAACACTTTTTATTACTTTAAAATAACGCTCTGGATCGTGGAACAATATGCCTACTTATAGTGTTTTCTGTGTTCTGTTTTCTGTTTTCTCTGTTTTTCTGTGTTCAGTTTCCGTTTCTTTGCTTCGTTAATATTCCGTTTAGATAGTTTATAAATATATATTGTTAATGTATATAGACTTAGAGTACAAATTTCTCAAACCCGATCCCCCCACAACGCTTTCGCTGCTATTCTGACTGAATGCAAAGACATCTAAGGATGTCCCTCAGATATGGGGGGGAGTAGCGTGAGAGCTTGAGAATTTCTAACTAACTTAGGAGGCAACACAGATCCCACCTGAGAAGACAACGCAAATATCGCAATGGAATCGAAAATCTACATCAACATCGGGAGGCTGTCAATAAATCTGCAAAATTAAATAACTCATAAACATATATATAAACTGTTATATATAGATACGACTCTTTCTTCTTCCTTTTTGTTTCGGGCTCAACAGCACACAGAATCTGTTGGCAGAGGAGTGTGGAAAATCCTTGAGACTGTGAAGTGACCTACTTTTTGTTTTTGGTGTGGCTATCTCTACATAACTCTAGATCCCCGCAAGTGCACGGGGATACATTCATTTCCATCTTCCTTATACACTTAGAAGGATGCCTCATTCCAACATTCCTCACAGAGTCTATATAGCAGCTAAATGTACGACGCTTCATGCTCCACAGTCTCTCCTGCCACTCCCATGCCATACAGTTCTCTCGGGATTGACTGTTTCCTATATACATATTCAGATATTCCGTCTGTCTGTCTGTCCACCTGCTTCAACTTTTTGCTTACAATTTCTAGAATTTCTGTGGGTGGTGTGCTGCTGGCTAGCCCTGGGGTTAAAATTAAAAAACAACGTGTACACCGCTACATAAATAAATGTGTCCTTAGCCATTAACAGATCCTCCTGGCGCTGCTCTCCATCTCCATCTTCTTCCGCTGCTGCTGCTGCTGCTTACTGCGCCTTGGCCTTGCGCAGATAGGCGGCCTGATCTTCCGACTGAGTGGCGCCCGAGGAGGAGATGTGGTCCACCGGCTGCTTGACCGCATTTTGGCCGGCGAGAGTGGCAGCCATGCGACGGCTCTTGTTGCCGCCCGGCGACAGGTACACCTTGTAGAAGAATCGCGCGAATAGGACAAAGTAGCTAAAGTACATGGCGATGGAGAGGTTGATGTTGCGCTGCGAGATGTTGCACGACTGGGTGCCGTGTGTCTTCAGGAAGCCATTGGCCCACACATTGATCGCACAGCCGATTATCATCTGCGTCAGCTGCAGCGACGTGATGATCATGGCGATGAAGCGAGGCGGGTTGAAGCGGGCCGCCTTCAGGGCATAGTAGCTGTACATCACCGAGTGCACGCAGTAGTTCATCACGATGAACCAGCGCGCCGAACTGGTGTACTCCGTGTAGCTGAACCACGAGTAGATCAGCACGGTGATGTGGTGGTACCAGTGCAGGAAGATCAGCGGCTGCTTGCGCAGCACTATGAATATCGTGTCGCCCAGCTCCGGCAGCTTGCTCAGCACAAACAGCCAGGTCCAGAAGCCGCACACGCGATCTTGTTCGATGTAGCTGCGCAGGGTGGGAATATCGGTCAGTGATCGCTAAATCCAACGGGTCACAATCCACCAATCAAGTTTCAAGAGCTGAGCACCGGTTCATTGTATGCAAAGGCAGCCTTGAATCTGATTGGGGATTGGGAATATGAATGGAAAATTCTACTAACCTGGGCACGCAGACTGAGTGGAAGAGTCCGTAGTGACGGAGCACATGGATCAGCTCCGGCGCCGTGCGGGCAGCACCCATAATGCTGAACATTGCCAGCATCGTGTTCCATATTATGAGCGGACCTCGCAGTTGAAATCTGCAGGGAAAAGAGGGGACAATAAAACGTTAATGATAGATTCTAGAATTCTAGAAGTTACTCCAAGGGTAGAGTTGATTTCTCACGCAAAACGAGTATTTACCTACAGCCAATAATAACCAAGAAATCGCACATAAAATACAACAACAACTGAAACTGGCTAAAAAGTCAACAACAGTTTTGTTGACAATTTTTCAATTATTTTTGTTGGCAGCAGCGGGCCCAACCGGGATCATTCGGGCCCAAAACAAGCGTGACTTCAAAGATCAAGTGCATTATGTACTATTTGTGCAATGCAATGACAACAGCCCCAACCCCTAACACTAGGTCACTCGGAAAACTAAACTCCGAGAGAGACGTTTGCTCAAGTAATTGATAGCCGAAATGATTGTTGGAATAGGGGGAAGAGGCTGCCAGACAGAAAATCATTCTATAAATCTGAGTATTGAGTGGAGCAGTTGTCAGGCCACTTCATGATGGACTTATCACGATCGTTCGATGCATTTTTAGACACTGTTTTGTCACGAGATCGTGCCGCAGATTGTATACCCTTCAGGAAGGACGGCAACGGCCACAGAGATTGCTAATGACTTTTTTATGACTTCCAGCTTCCGGCATTAATCATTAATTTCTTAAATTGTTGGGAAAATGTTGTGCAAGGTCAAAGAAATCGAATAGAAGCACCCCAAGCGATAACCTTCCCCGCGAAACAATTGCAGAAATAATCAGACTGCCACGTTCCGCGAAAGTAATCAGAATCTACCATAGAAAAGTCTATTAAAAGCCCTCCAAAGACAGGTTTCGACAGGTTTTAATGATCCACACTTAAAGAGGTTCTTTGAATTGCTCTTCAGGGGATTTGGTGGCTGTGGGAACAGGAAACGGTGTTAATCACAGACACCGCCTGAGCGCGTATCAGTCAACGACTTTCTTGCTGAATCACAGGCCCATTGAAATACCCTTACGAGTAATCGGGGAACAGTAATTGAATAATGCGCAATCCATGAGAATGAGAATTAGAACATTAACGGCAGACTAATCAGCAAAACCTTATCGATCCCCGTCAGAACCTCTCGAAGCGCGACAATTAGTCATAAAAAATCTGCACACAAACACCTGGCCAAAAATAACAAAAAATAAGCGGAAAAAAACGCATGCCATCAGAGAGAGAGAGAGAGAGAGAAATGTGTGATTGGTGCGTGATTGGGTGAACACATATGGATTAAGCCAACACCTGGATAGGGGAAATAGTTCTACAGAATGCAGGGTGAAATTATAGTAATTGTTTGTTCTCACATTTAAATAGTTGCAGATGAGTCAACAGTGAGTTTATCAGAAAGCAGAAATAGCAATCGATAGCGGGAAATGACGAGCCAGAGTCATAAATATTTTGTGTGGCTGTGTAGCGCAGTGTAGACGCAGGCGAGCGGCATACAAAAAGCTCACTCAAAATGCCAGCCAACGGATTTGCATAGATAAGTCCCACTGTAATAGACAATTAAGCTGCGTTTGTCTCTTGCTCGTACATACAAATATTTCATTCTGGCAGCGGAAATGTTCAACTAAAGAATTGAATTCCTTGTGCTCTGAATTCTAGTTTAAGATTTTAAGAAATCATTTCCATTAATCACAATTAAGCTCAATTCCCAGCAGAGAGAAAAACAAGCACACACTCGACAGAATTACAGGTTTTCTTTGGCTTTCTATTCCCCGATTCTAGTGGCTTCCACTAATGGCATATCCTACCCCAAAAAGGGCTTAAAAAAGCTTAATTTTCGCTGCTATAGCAATTCCCAACTGGTTCTGCCTGCACATGCATCAGCTGGCTGCTGTGGTGCTTGGACAAATTCGTGCCTGAAATTAATGAGTAAGGAAAACCAATCCGCCTTGCTAATCGCTCGGCAGTAATTGGCTTCTAGGCAAAGGGGCGGCCCTCAAAAGTCGTTCCCTTGAAGCCTAAATTTTTGCACGGGCACAGGTCGCCCCCCCAGCTCTGCCGGCACGGACACCATTTGGCGGCAGGAACCGGCGCCTACTTTTGTGTCGGGGAACGCTGCTGGATGGGGACCACCGCCGGTTGGGTGCTTGCGATCTGCCCGATAAATGATTCATTTCATATTTGCTGTGAGTAATCATGATTGGCGGTGTTTCTTTTTCCCTGTGCTTGTGTGTGTGTGTGTGTGGATTGGAACTTTCTTTTCTTACAGCTAAAATTGCATAAGCAACAGAGAGAAAGAGAGGAGAGAAAATTTTGCAGTCTCAGACAAACAGAGAGAGAGAGTGAAAACCGGTATTTGGCAAAACATATAAACAAAAGAAGGCATGAAAAAGGGGAGTCTAATGAGAGAGAGAGAGAGAGAGCAAGCATTATGCAAGCCAAAGCAGTCTGAGGTTATTGTCTGTGGGTTGCCAGGAGGGGGCCGATTGATTATCGCAGGGGGTTTCAGTTGAGCCAGGGTTGTCGTGGGTATTTGGTTTGGTTTAGTTTTTGTGGCATGCATTGGTATTACAGACTGATTTTTGCATACAATACATGTATCTGTGTATATATTTACCTTCTATACATAGCTAGACATTGTCTCACTTTTAGTTTTCTTTTGTGTGTTTGTTTTTGCCAACCTTTTCGTTTGTGGCTTGCAAAATTTCAACTGGAACTGCGATTATGTTGTGCCGTTAATTAAGTTTTTTTGTTGTTTTAAATGTATACTCATTATAATTATTATTCATTATGCTTTGGGGTTCGCAGACTACCAGATTGCTGTATGGTGTTTGCACCGGCATTGACCAAGTTTTTGTTTTTCTCTCTTTAAACTGTTATCCAAGTTGTGAAAGGCTTACGAAGGAGAGATAGATAAGTGGGTTCAAGGGCCACAGCGCAAAACGCAGAGAAGAAGAGTTCTGCAGAATGACAGACTAATGGCTGAAAAATCACAGTCTAAAAGACAAAATACAGCAAGATGAATTCAATGTGCTGTTAATGGGTTTTAATCTCTGTCTATCAGGTGATAAGCCCAAAATGAATGATCAAATCTCTCATTTAAACTCACTTTGAAGTTCGTTTCGACTCGTACCCAATGAACCATTGATTTTGAACGATCTATGACTCTGTTTTTCATGGAAGTTCGCCTGGCAAGGGGTTTCAGGGAGTACAAATACGAGTGTTTGTTGACAGCAAGGTTACACCCACATGTACCAGTTGCAACACAACAAATGACAGAATTTCGATCAACAGAAATACCAATTTAAGTAGCCACAAAAACCTGTTGGGCTTTAATGGGAACGAAAACAGGTGGAAAGTAAAAGTGTAAATGTGGCATGAGTCCAGAGAGAGAGAGAGACAGAGACTGAGAGATGCTGGAGAGCAAAAGGGCAGTCGGAGAGCTCTCTATTCGCTCTTGGCTTTCGTGGCGGAAGATCCAAAAAGCCAAACAGAGGAAAGCCTATAAAGAAATTCAGTTTTTTTTTTGTTGACATACTTTAACCAGATTTGCTCGTCACTCCCCTTCCACGCTGCCACTCCTTCCATGTGTTTGCTTTAACGGTTGTTGTTAATTTCTCGTTTAATATACATATACATATGCATGTGGCTGTATGTATGTGTGCATGTGTGCATGCACATTCCAATAAAGTAGTCTCCAACCGAAATTAAAAGTAACAACAAAGTAAATTCAAATAAAGTTTCACTTTCAGGCGATGATTTCTTTCCCTTTTAGTTTGTCTGTCTTTAATTGTCTACTAAATGTTGCCGTGTAATTGCTAATTGCAAGCGTAATTGCATTTGTTAAACTCGACACGACAGACAACCCCACAACCCCGACACACACACACTAGACACAGCAGACAGCAGACAGCAGACACCCCAGACACTACATACTCAGGAACCCTTTTTCCCCCTACTAAAAAACCCTGAAACCCATAGTCAAGTCAAGTCAAGTCATAGCCTGCCCTGAGCTGCGCTGCGCTGCAATTAGCTATTCGTAAATTGTTGTACAATTGTTGCAAATCAATTGATTCCAAACTTCCGCATACTCGCAGTTCCACAATCATTTTCCACCACTGGATCTGCTGGAACTCATCTTAAAGGACATTATTCAATCGAAAGACATGCGAGGGTAAACATTGCACTGGGTACAGCTGCGATTATTTCATTTGCTGATAAATATAGACAGCGAAGTTTCACAGGAAGAGAGTCCAAGGCTATGGAATGACTCAATCCATCAAAATATAATATGATTATGCAATCCGCACACTCAAGTGCACATATAGAAATATATAGGAAAGATTGTACATTGTATGCACGCCCGTTGATTTGGTTGCCCTAAAGTGTAGACACACACTTAAAGTCGAAGGTTCGCACAGGTCAACAGAGTTTACCGAGTTATGTATATCCCCACCAACAAGTGACAAATGTCACACGCTCAACTGCAAATTATTTGCAAACTATTTACCATATAATACTTACTATATGCCATTTTGCATTTCAAATATCTACAAAATAGAATGTCCGGTCCTATACTGTACTGTCCCCTGTCCAGCAGTTGTGCCAATTGTAATACTTTCCAGCCCCAACATGGGGACACACACCCATTTCTTGCATGTCTCGTAAGCGCTTCCCTCCCTTGAGTATGAGAAGAAGAAGTTTCTGTTCTTTGTAGTTTGTACCTCAAACGGTGGTATGTCTGTACATATGTGGTTCCGAGTACGTAGGTAACAAGGTACGATACAGTATCGTATGGGTATGTACCACAATTCTAATCAGTTTATGGACTTGGTTGGTGTTGGTGTTGCATTGGGGCTGCAGTCCAGTTCAGTCCAGTCCAGTGGGAATGGTAACCCAATTCAATGTGTAGTTTGCTCTTTGAATATGCATGGAGTGGATGCAGCCAAATGCAGCCACAGTGAGAGCTCCCATAAGGGGAAAGCTACTCATTTTCCAGGCTCTTTCTGCTTGTGGAATGACCACTGTAAGCGTTGTACATACAATCAATCCCTCGCACATTTTTTCTTCTGAATCATGGCACAAATGATATCATAAGCAATTACGGCTCGCCCGAACAGCACTAAAACTGTGTGAGGGGAAAAATATATGCTTCGGGGAGCGCAGCGCAGCGCACTGCCTGGCCGGGCCGGGCCGCACTGTGGCGTGTTCGGGGACGGTGCTGGGGTCGGGCCGGACCGGGCCGGTGGGACCCTGTGCCTGGGTGATAAGGCGGGAGCGGGCACCAAAACAATGTGCTCTGTTCCCCCATACACACGCCGAGGTCGATAGATGGATGGCCTTTCCCGCGCTGAAGCCTCGTCGAGCATGGAGACAGTCGTCCACTGATAAGGCAAACAGTTCGCTCTCCATAGGTGTATGTCTGTATGTGTGTGCATAGAGATATAGTAGTTGCGATTTGATATCTACCCCGAATCAGTGGACAAACACGAAATCACAGACCTCAGAGCTCTAAACCCAAAATTAAGAGAGCGACGAAGCGCACGTGGTTGAGGGGTTACAGCAAAGTTGCCCCCAAAAGAGATGACGATGGTTGGTCGAAAACACTCTGTCGAGTGCCTCCCCCCCACAGACCCCTGCTTCCCAGATTGTTGCATTCACTTCACACCTTTCTGTACTTTGTGCGTAAATATTTGAACGGCATCTCCACCAAGTATTTAAGTGTAGAGCCGACATATCCACCCAATCCATCTAATGTCCGAGCCAGGGGCCAAGCCTCTGTCAAACTCAAGAGGCGTGTGCACTTGGAATGTCTATCTGACTTTAACAACAAAGTACTTTCGGGTTGGCCAGTGATGAGTTCAGGCTTAAGGTTAATCCATTAGGACTCAAAAATATGTTTTAAATTTTAAATTAAAACGTCATAAAAGCATCCCAAAACAGTTGACACTCGCTGCAAATTATGATCTAACCAAATAAAAAAAGACACACTGGAGTAAGCTCCCCATAGATGGCATGTCACGAACGTAACTTAATTTGGTCACAAAACTTGATGACGACAATTAGAAATAGGGAGAGAGATACAGCAGCAAAACAAAAGGCACAGAACCAGAACCAAAACGAAACGAAACAATCGGCGAACACGAACGCCCAATTGAATCAATCGCAGCAGACAATCACGGTCATAATCACGATGAGGGTTTGTTAAAGTTCCTCAAAATTGCAAAATGCAATGTGAAATCAAACACAATCCTGTGTTTGCTTCGATTCGGGTTTATCTTTCTCTTTGCATGTGCGCCACTTGGTAAATCTTTTTCCCGTGATTTGTTTCGCAAGTGGAAATGTGATGCGACATTCGAATGTCGGGGAATGGCGAGCTTGAAGTGGACTCTCGAGTGGCGGCATGCCTTGACAACATAATATTAAGATATTGATTAGCTGTAATCTTATATAATTACATGGTGGAACTCAACAGCTGCCCGCGACTACAACACTCGCACATTTGTGCTTTCAAATCATATGACAAATAAAATGAAAGCAAATCAGAAGGAAAATTATTTGGTCCTACGACCAAGGGATACTCATTAGTTGATTAAAAGGGAAGGAGAGGTGATGCAGCTGTACTCTTGGATGATAGATTGCAAAAGATAGATTGCCCTATGGCAAATATCCCTAATAGAGGGCTATTAGATACCTGCCATATTCGTTTGTTCCACATTTAAATAAATACAAACACTCGTAAGATGGAGAGTTCAATATACCCAGCTTCGCTGAGCATACCCTGCTTAAATAGTTGTGGCTCTCAGAAAATTGAATGAAGTCAGAAGGGTGAGTGAGCGAGACAGACCTATTGCTATTGCCGGTAAATGTACTGTAGAGGGAGACAGCTGTGATTCAGAGAACAACTACCGTTGCCAGTCAAAGTCAAATATGGGGCGTTGGAGATTTGTGCTTGCAATTAGTGGAGAGACGAACAATCCTACAAAGGAGAGGAGCTGGAGAGAGAGGGAGAGGGAGAGGGAGAGGCAGGGTGACAGCTCCAAGTCAAGGTTCAAGCAATGCAAAAGTTCTTGAGGCGTGTCAAAAACGCAGACTATGCATCAAAACTGGGATGGGAACACATGTTTCCGATGTTTTTGAAGTATATGAGACTCACCTTGGACGATTTTGCATAAAGTGCTGACCACCGAATATCACAAGCATGTAGATGCCGCAGTAGTAAAACACCCATGTCCAGTTTTCCAGCATCCATTTCCGTGTCCGCTGGTGTATGAAGTCGTTCTCGAAATCGAAGATATACGAGTAGTTGGGCGTCACGCTAATATCCATGTTGATCATTTTGGTGGGTGTGGTGGGTGGTCTGGTGCGTTGCTGGTCGAGATTATGTTGGGATCGGGTTCTGGTTCTGGCTCTGGTTCAGGTGTAGCTGTGTGGAAAGTAGATTTTAGATTCTCGATTAGACTGGAATGAAATGGATATTGTATATTGTATATTGTTTCACTGGAGCCAGTATGAGCCGGAATGGGGAATTTTTACAGCCCCGACCCAACCCGTTTTTGCCAGCTTTAACTTCAATTCACTTTAATCTCCCGCTCACACGAACACGCGAAAACACAAACCCCTCTGGCTTAAAGCGCGCGCACTGTCGCGCATAAATTTCTTTCAGACCTCATATTGCCTTGGCGACCTTCCTTTCCCCTTTGGTCCACCTGCCACCTCCTGCCCCTGGATTCCATTGATTTTGCAAAAATAAAACCGTTCTTCCATTAGCATCAGCACTCTCTCCATCTCGCTCTGCCGCCTGCAGTCGCCCGCACAAGTGCATCCCATTCATGAATGGCGCACGCTTTATGGTCATCTTCCTTTTCACACCTTCATCTCCCGTCTTCTGAACGTACATAGATACACAAGCAACTATCACGAGAGGGGCAGTGGATTGAGTGAGGGTGGTGGGTGCTGGTGGGAGAGCGACCGTCTGGCGACTATCCTCTCGTGCATGTGCCGGTGGTGGCAGCGGGCCAGCATAAGAAGGGGGGGGCGAAATATTTGAATTCCTAATTGCATGCCAGACACGCGACTTCACACACATACTCTATCTCACTCTCGCACACAAACGTAGTTAGTCATTTCATGTTGTTGTAAGCTTCGCTTTTAACGGCACCACGAAGCTTTACCATATCCGGTTTTTTCGCAGCGCTTTCATAAATTTCTAGTGAAACTTTTCGTGGCCCTAGCGGTTTTTGGGACTGTTTTATTTTATGCTTTGAAAAAACATCACATCATTATCTATGCCGGAGAGCTCTCTCGCCCTCTCTCTCTCTCACACACTCATCTATCTTGCAAAAAACGCGTGTTCTGCTTTATATTCATCTTCTGCTCTTGTTTGCACTCTCTCTCTCGCCTCTTTCTCTCGAAACTTGATGCTACGAAGACGATGTAATCGATTGAAACACACAAACTTGGATTATGTCGGATAAAAATACATGTTAAATCAGCAAACGGCAGCCAGGCCAATTGTCTGCTCTCTTTCGCTCTCTTCTTCCCCTGCCACAGCATCGTGCAAGAGGCAAAACCACCACAAAAAACATCAACGAGTGCACCGGGCGCCACGAGTTTTGGATTGGATTCATAACTAAGAGTATCACTTTTCGACCGATATTTACTTTTTAACTGATATTCGCAACACCAATACGCCCTGCGAAAGCCAAAATTTGTTATTGGGCGTTCAACGCACGCGCTACACTTTTATATATACACTTTCTTTGGTGGGTCGGCCGGCAACAAAAAAAGGAGTGTGCAGTGTTGACAATCGTTAAAAAAGCTGGGCAAGTTCAGATTCAAAATAAGGTTGGGCGCTAGGTTCCCATTGTGAATATTTGTATATTATTGTGAATTGGCCATTTCGGTAGGGGAATTTCGCTGTGTCTAAAAGGTAAGGGAAATTCTCTCCTGCCAGGCGATCTCCCGGACTCATTTTTGCGCTTCAAATATGAGCACAGCTATATACCACCAACTATAATAAATCCTGGAAATATTCTGCTTAATATTAACAGCTAGTTAGGACTCTCAGCAGTGAAACTATAGTTCTATCCGATTGGTGAATCAATTATCTACACTCTAGCTTATTGTGACTGGATACAACTCATTTTTACATTGCAAGTATGAGTTGCATTTTCAAAATACCGCGAGCAAACTTAGATCGATGCTAAAATACAGAAAACAATACATACCAGTAGATGTTAACATATTCATAGGCAAATGAGACAAGAAACTGAAAAACTGATTGGCATTTTGAACGTCTCTGATTGGTGCCAAAGAAGCGGAAGCAAAGATTAAGTTTGGAGGCACTTGCAGACTGGTTCCAGTTCCAAAAAAACGTACTTTTGAATTTAAATGAGATGGAAATATATAGGCTACTCTGATTTTATACGATAGGAGTTAGGCGAAGCAAGCGTGTTGATTTATAATTGAAACCACGTTTGATATAGTTTTTTCATTTTAATTTTGAGATTATATATATATAATAATTAGATTTACATTCATTTCTGTATCATTTTACTTGTTTTATTTTAGAAATAAAGTAAGCATTTATTACTAGTTCTTTTATTCATTTGCTTTTCTGTTGATTTGTTTAGATTTGCATTTTAGTGCAGCTTTGTTTATTGCATTTCGTTTTGATGAACATTACTAGATACGGGGTAATGGGGTGCATGGGCATACAATACAATCATTTTCATAACACAAAAACAAACAATATTTTAAATATAATATTTCATAATGAGACGTTCCGATTCCCTTGCCGTGTGTTGAAGGAATCGCTGCAGGGCGGGAGGCAGGGATGTTGGACTCCGGTCTAAGTAGAAAATAATCCATCGATTGTGTGGGAAATTAGAGACATAGAGTTACATACATACAAATATTGCAACGTGACCACTTTTGATATTGAAGCTTGTTAAAAACACAAAGGAAATGCACACACAGTACAAAAAGCGGCAGATTTGGGTGTTAATTGGTTTTGTTTTTTTTTTTTATCATTGTTAACATGCTACGATTTATAGAATTTTGGTTTAATTTATGCTTCTCGATACGATTCGCTTCCTCCTTTCTTCTTTCTTCTTTCTTTTTTGTTTTTCTCATTTTCATTGCTCTGTATAAAAGTTCAGTAAAAAATGCTGCTTAACTAGTTTTCTCGTTTGTAATTCCCTCCAATTGGTTTTTGTTATAAGGTAGCGCTCTCCTTATAAACGTCATGGTGCATCCATCCATCCATTTGTAATTTCTCTCAATTATCCATCAATTGTTGTAAGCATTTTGTTTTGTTTGTGTTTTTGTGTGTTGCTTTCGGCTTTATTTTACATTAAATCAGTTATAATTGTTCCGGCTTCTGCTTATAACAAACATTCTCTCTGCTTGCTCTCTCGCTCTAATATTATTTAATTCTTTTTTACTTTGTTTTTTATCACTTAGTTTTTACAATGGCGTTTTATTTTGCTTTGCTTTGCTTTGTTTTGTTTCGTTTTGTTTTGTTCTCCATAAAAATGAGCATACAGACACAATAAATTTCCCTCTGCTTTCCACACCAACATATCGTAATCGTCGCCATCAATCGGAAACGCACAAATAAATTCTATTTGATAATACCAAGAACAAAAACTAATTGCATATATTTATTCATTAATATATATACTCTATATATATATATATGTATACCGATATATACGTGGGTTTTCCATTGCAAAAATTCGATATACTTATGTGTATTTTCGGTTGCTGCGTTGCCTGTTTTTGTTTTGTTTTTTTCAACTTAAGTTTAACTTGAAAGCGAAATCATACTCGAAACGACATTTGAAATGGATTTGAATCGTGTGTGTGTTTGTTGTGTGTGTGGACCCATCTGATTAGTGGATGGGGGGCAGGGGCAGCACACCATCTGCGGCTAAGTAGCGTCAATATACATACATCATCGAAAGGACATAGATCGTTGACTTCTGGTTCCGCCGAAAAATAAACCTCTGCGAGTGAGCTTGACACTTTTGTTTCTAAATATTAAATAGATTATTTTAATATATATAGAATAGGCTCGCTTCGCACTTCTCCTCCGAGTGGATCGAGTTTTCTTAGCACATTTACTAATTGAAACGTTGTCGTGGTGAATTTTCATAAGCACAAGTTCATGATTGTTTGTGGTGTGATTTGTGGTGAATGTTAGAATTGTGTCTCATCTGTATAGGATATCCGTCGTCATCATCGTCATCGTCATCTCATCTCACTTACATTTTTACTTCACTAATTATCGTGTGTGTGTGTGTGTGTGGGGGTTTTTGTGTGGGTGTGTATGTTCTCTTTAGATATTTTGTTGCTTTGTTGTAAAATAAGAAGAAAATGTTTTGCTGCATTTTTTGCTGGTTGAGCATATCGATCGCCTCCTGGGGGGATTGGCTTGGCTTGGGTTGGGCTGGGCTGGGCTGGGGTCGATCGATGGCTGCCAAGATCATCCGAGCAGAGCTGTGTGCTTTACCAATTGGCCATGCCTGGCTTGTTGAGCGTCATAAAGTAGATTTGACACGATGAAGCACCTTTGGCACTGCTGAAGAATACTTTGTCATTGCGCTCGCAAAGGAATTTCAAGCGCTGCGCCTTCTTGTGCATAAACACACCATCCAAATGGCCGCTCTCAACGGAACGTATCTGCAAAAAAGGAATCATTATAAACCATATCTAGACTGGATGCCATTCAGTGCACACTCACCTCTATTGCTTTGTTGCCCCAGCCCATGATTTGTCCAGTGCCAATGTATGCCACTGAGGTGGGCATCTCTCCCCACTGAAAAGGGAAAACAAAGATTAAGCCACTCTCTCTGGGACTCGCTGTTCGTGTAGTACTTGCCTGGAGGACAATGTTCTTGGATACACGACCCACAGTATTCACGTAGACACCTTCATTGTCGTAGCACAGCAGCAGTTGCATCCCATTGGAGTTCGGAAGCGCCACAATACAATGCGGAATGATTGCACCCTGAGTCTGAAAGTAAGTGGTTAATTCACGGGTGAAGAGTGTCGTCTCCCAGTGGGTCTGGGCTTACATGTTTGGGAAGATATATGTCGTATACTTCAGCTGAATCCAAATCAACCGCATGGAAACCCTCGGCCGAGCCATAAATCACCTTCAGTCTCGACTGATCTTCAATTGTGAGATCGACCAAAAGCGGGCGATGTTCCAATTCACCAAAATTCTACCAAGAAAACAACATACAATTAACATTAAACAAATCGAGTAGAGATCCATGTAGAGAACATACCTTAAATGCCATAAATTTGTGATATGGTTTGGGAGCCCATGCATATATTTCAATAGAGTCTTTTAATGCAATCACTAGGAACTTAATCCTCTCGTATTTGACAATCTTAAAATGTACAGCACCTTGTAGATCACCCACATTAATCCAACCATTGCGACGCTCCACTTGCTACAAAGTACAAAAATGAGTACACAAATTCAAGGGCTTGCACTCTCGTTGAAACTCACATCGGAGAGTCCATCGGTGCGCAAGATTTTCGACTTGAGCCAGGACAAGTAGTAGACACGCACGCGATTCTTCTTGCCGGATATGGTAACCAATATGTTTTGACCCTCTAGCACTTCCATTTGCTGGAAGCGGCGTCTTGAGATGAGTTGATAGACCTGTAAATAAAAGCAAAGTTAGTTTATATTTACTAAGAGTTTTACAATGATGTGTGACTTACCTTCCCCTGGCCGGAACGATCGAGCAGCATTAGGCCATTCTCTGTGCCAATCAGCAGATTGACGCCCCATAGCGCCGCACAGAGTATCTCCGAATTGAAGCGCTTCTTATACTTACGAATCTCGGGCGTATCGTTGGCCGCCTCGTGGGAGGTGGGCGTCACATTGACATTCACGTGCGACTCACGACGCGACGGGCCGGAGCCGCCGGCCCCGAAACCGAAGGTAAGGAAACTGCGTTGTTTCTGTTGCAGCGCGTACGCGTGGGGTGGCAAGAGGGCGCTCAACGATGCATTCGCATTCGATGAAGACGTCGAAGAGCAGGGCGTCAGGTGGTGGATGTTCGCAGAGGAGGAAGAAGCAGATTTGTGCAATAAATTAGTAATACTGCTGGTGGAACGCGTCTTACTGATCGAATTCTTTGGCGAGTTCTGTCGCGAATTCGACGAGGACGAGGCAAGCGATATCGTCGACTGTGGTGAATTATTGGTGCTGCTGCTAATAATCACACCACCGACGACGCTACCACCACCAAGGCCGTGGCCACTGATTGCGGCTCCGTTGGCGCTGGCGCTGCCGCTGCCGCTGCTAGCGATAAACGATTTCGATGGCGTGGAATGCACGGATGAACTGATGGCCGCTTGATACTGCGTGATATTGATATCGATATACGATATACGATTTTCGATTCACGATTAACGATTATTTTGATTTGTTTATATTGGATTGGTTTTTGTATTTTTTTTGTATTTGTTTTATTGGTAATTATATAGAGAAAAAGAAAAATAGAAAAAGTGCAAAGAAAAAATTACAAATTAGTTTGGAGATGTAAAAACAAAGGATAAAGTTTATTAAATAAATTACAACATGCTTTGGGTAGGGTAGGTGTTGTGTGTGTGTGTAGAGTGCATTACAATAGGTGTGGGTGTGGGTTAAGGGATGCTTAAACTAACTAATAATTGAAAAACTATAGCCAACAAAAGGGAATAGGGAATCTCATTCTGGTTAAAAGTTTGTGAAAATGTTAAATTAAATATAATACAACAATTGATGTAGAATTTATATGTGTTTAGTCTTTCCCCAGAGGCCAATGGTACATAAAATATTGCACCTATTTATGTTGTAGTGTGTGTATTTTTATGTGTGTGTGTGTGTGTGTGTGTGTGTGTGTGTACAAAAAATAAAAATCTTCTGGAGTATATATTTGCTCCTGTAGATTTTTGGGTATGTGTGACGAAATGTTAGTGACAGTGAGGCTCGCACAGTGGGCCACATACAGCACTGCACTGGTGAAAAATAAAACGTGAAATTGATATCGAAAAATGATGGCATTGTATGTACAGAGAAGAGATAGAGAGAGAGAGCGGGAGAGAGGAGTAACTGTAACTTTAACTGAAACGCATTCCTAGAGTGCAGATAATTGTATGGGTGGTGGGGATTTCCCTTTTGCCATTTGAAAGAACTTAAAAGGTACACAAACAGAGGGGAATGTGGCACATTGTGAAAATGGTTTGTCGATAAGCTATACACAAAAGTATTTTCTTGATTTTTGTTTGGTGGCAAATATGTTTGGCAGTAAAGAGAGTAAAATTATACAAAAGAAGAGTATTTTGTTTTGGAGCTAGAGGCTATGCTCTTTGTATTGGTTTTTGTTTGTTTTTTTAGGGGTTTTTGTATTGTTTGGTTTTGTTTGTGTTTTGTTTATTCATATACTTACTATTGTAATGTTTTGTTTGTTTGGTATTTGATTGGTAATTGATTTGTAATTGGTTAGAATATATCGTAGTGGCCATCAGCTCAAACGTTGCGGAAAGACAAAGCACAATTAAGAAGAAGAAATTTGTTTAAACATTGTGTTCTTTTTTTTCTCTTTTCAAATTTTCTGGGTTAAATAGAGTATTCATTTTTTTGTAATTTTTCAGTGGGTTTAATTTTGATTTGACTAATTTTTAATAACATGCTTCATGCAAATATACTTTTAAGTAATTTTTTCTAAACAATTTGTCGACCAATTCATTGTTTTACACTCTCTTCATAATGAAACTTTGCTCCCACGTCAAAGAAATGTTTTATGCTAAGGATGTTGTTGTTCTCTTCCTTTGGTTTTGAGGATTAGTAACATACATGGGTATTTTTTTGGTGGGTGTTATGTTTAAGGATCACAAAATGATAAACGAAAATGGGAAGGGAATACTAACAAAAATAAATATCGCTTTGAGGTCACATGTTAGTAGGTAATCGAACCACTGTGCGGTACGGATATGCCTCAATGGAAGTGCAAAAACTCGGAACTTTATAACGATTGCTATCTCCCGTGTTAGTATACGAAATCCCTCATGTCAGTCCCCAACTTTCGCTTTAATTGAATGACTAATACTGATTATTCCCAATCTAATCGGAAGTAATTTGTTCTCAAAAACGATTTCCATCTTGATGACAAAGACATTGCGAATGACTTGATTTGGCAAATGGATCTCGACGATTCGGAACACAAATTGAGCGACATTGAGACAAGTAATAATAAATAAGGCAAGGAGACTCACAAAGGTTACAAACACAATGAAATAATCGATTAAAACAAAGAGTACAACGAGGTGGTAGAACACACAAAAAGTATGATGCCCATATGTGATGAGTGATTCTTTTTTTGGTATTACTCACCTCCTCACTGGATGACTTGTCATGGCGTGGCGGTGTGGCCGGCGATGCCTGGCTAAGAAGATCGGGCAGTACGCTGCTGGTCCGGGTGCCGGGTGTACCCAAAACGCTGCCATCGGCTGCAACTCCGCTGCTGCCACCGCCGCCGCCGCTGCCTCCTCCGCCGCCAACTCCGCGATTCTAATGGAACGGAAAGATGCATCAAAAATAGTTTAGTATAGAGAAGAGAACACACACTTTGAGGGGGTATTCGCATAGAAATTGAAAATGAAATTAAGTAGTGGGATGGTGGGTTATAGAGAGAATGTTTGGCAGGGTAAACAGATTGATAGACAGAGATAGTTTGAGTGGGAGGAGTAACGAACAGATATAAGAAAAAAAACAACAAATGAATCAAAACAAAAAAAACGTAGAACGTAGCAGCACAAAATAAATGAATGCCAATGAGAGACACTGAAGGTCGCCTACGGATATTATGGTGGATATGTCCCCTTCTACTACGAAAGCCTCGAATGGATATAGAGATATGGTCGAACGGAGAGAGTGTGTGTGTGTGCGGGAAGGGGGTGTGCGTGTACTATATGGTATAGGCTTACAATCTAAACATTTATGTATCCCTCTCTCTCACTTTGGATATGGTTTCAAAATTGTTTTAAAGCTAGACATGTAAAGCACTTAAACTACGTGGACTGGGGGCAGCAACACACATTCCGCTCGGCACTCAGCAGGCAAACGTTGCTCAAGTTGCAAGAACAATATTCCTGGGCACATATCAAATAGGAATATAGTTTCATTTCTTAATTAACTCTTCATTCATTTACCAAACCAGCAAACTTTTCATTGATTTTATATTATTTTTTTCCAGTTTCGTCTTTGCACAGAAAAGCTTTAAAACAATTTTGAGGCATTAAGCAGTAGAGTTTTGGCTTTGTTCAAGATGATTAAACACAGAGAGCAGAGCACAACAGCAGAGTAATTTACATAGTTAAAACTGGCTTGCTACCATATAAATGTTATCTGTAGAGCTAACTTTAAGCAAAGATTATAGAACATATACATGGCATTGATGATAATGTTCTATAACCTTTGATCATCTCTAACACACACTAATCCATCGAATATATATTTTTACCCTCAACAAATTGCAACTAAAACCACATAAAACCCCCCACAAACTAGCATATCTATGGATTTCCGGTTATTTACTAGTTTTATCAAAGATTTCAAATAGAATCCAGTAGAGAAAAGGCTTCAACCTGCACTACGAGTATTCCATTAATTGGATCACATCTCATTAGCATTCGATAATTTTGCTTCTTTGTTAAGTTAGAAAGCAATCGACTAGCATTTGTTAGTTGCACATTGGCCCACAATCAGCTTAGTATTAGAGGATTAGAGACTTAATTATGATTCCTGGGGATGTAGCTTAAATCTTACAATGATCCATACAAATGAAAAATGCATGAAATATTCCAAAATAAATCAAATAAAAACCAAAACATGCGCAAGCAATGAAAAGATACGAGATAAATATAAGCCAACAATATGTGAACACACAATGCGAGTTGAGTTTTGCTCCATTATACCCCTTGCAGAGGGTTTTACGCAAGTTCCTTTTACTTATGAGTGTCGCGCGTAATGCAGCAGTGCACCTCGGTAGGTTTGTCATAGCTGCGCTGTGTTCGCTCCTTTGGATGGTCTTTGTCAAGTTGGAAAAGTGCAAAGCTAACACACAAAATTTGAGAGTAAGAATGTCCGTTCGTATGTCCGTCTGTTTTCTATGCAAGAATGTTTCTCAGTCCTTCAGCGGAACAGAATTAATGAATGGAATTAAATCTGCAAGGGTATAGCCATTACCCATTTGGATTAGGAACATATGCGAGTTTGTTGTGTGTGTGTTTCGAGTGTTATTTACGAGGCTGTTAGTGCAAATGTTATTAACAATACGAGAGTGGCAGCGTGTTCGAGCCCGTTGGTGTGGTGTGTGTCGAGTGTGTGGTGTGTTTGGTGAGTATATGGGAGAAAGCGAGCGAGCGATGGATGGTAAATTTCAAACATTTTTTGTTGCTGTTTTGTTTTCTGTTTTAAAAGTAGTTTGGGTTTGGTTTACGTTTACATTAACATTTCTGGCGCCAAGACAAAACACAATTGGAATGGAAGAACGAACGATTTATGCTTTTGGTTTCTTTTTTCTTTTTTCTTTCTTTTTTTGTGGTGTAGCAGCTTTTCGAATAAATGTTTGTTTGCCTCTTCTGAAGGTTGATTGTTGAAGTTGTTGTTTGTTTTTTTTTTTTGTGCGAGCTGAGAACGTTTACCTGCTGCTGCTGCTGTTGTTGTTGCTGTTGCTGCAACTGTTGCGCCTGCGCCTGCTGCTGCTGCTGCTGATGGGCTCGAGATGCAGCATTCTGCAACACAATGACGGATTCAGTCTTTTCGCGACGCGGACGCAAGAAATCAAGATTAGCCCAGCTTGACTTGATGGCAGGAGTTGCAGGAGTTCCTGCTCCCGACTTGCCAGCCACTGCTCCTGCTCCTGCTCCTGCTGCTCCTCCTGCTGCTGCTGCTGGAGAGGAGCTGGTGATCTTGCTCTTGCTGCTGCCACTGGCTGTGGCACTGCTGTTGTAAATGCTGTTCCTTTGGTACATGGCACTGGCTCTCTGGTTGATTTGAACCATTTGTGGCGACTGCAGCTGCTGCGTGGAGGCTGTGCCGCCGCTGTTGCTGCTGCTGCTGTTGTTGCTGCTGGTGGTGCCACTCAGCACTGCAGAGTGGCGTTTGGTTAGCGGGAAAAAGTCCGAGTTCTCTCGCCGAAAGCCGCGCACAAAGTTCATCGGCAGCTTGGAGTCCGACTCCTGGCGTTTGTGCTGCGACATCGAAGTGCTGCTAGCGGCTCCAGTTGCGGCAGTTGTGGGAGTTGCGGGAGTTGCTCTTTTCTTATCAATACTTGTGGCACCCTTTAGCGGCTGATAGCCCCTGGGCACTGGCCTGGTAATGGCCTCCGCCACACTGGCCCTCTGCAGCTTCGTCTCCACCTTGAGGGTGCTCTGCTGCGAGCTGCGACTGAGGCTGGCCGTCGCTGTGGGGCTGCCACTGCTTCCACTTCCACTTCCACTGCCACTGCTGCCGCTGGCTCTGCCACTGGCACGTGCTGCAGCTGCTGCTGCTCCATTGCTGGTGCTCTTTGGAAAGAATCGATCAAAGTCCCAGTCCCTGAGCAGCTTTGCCTCCTCCTTGCGTGGCACAGCGGCAGCGGATGCTGACTTTTGCAGGCGATTTATATTCTGTTCGAGTTTCTGTTGCGAGGTTTTTGTTTGAGTGTTTGTTGCATGGATCGAGGGGGGTTGGTTCGGGTAGGAGTAGTAGTTGTTGTTGGTGTTTGTTGTTGTTGTTGTTGTTGTAAGTAGGCAGCGCAAGAGAAGAATTTGTGTGTTAGGTATTTTCGCTTTTGTTTTGCCTCTCTGTTGTTGTTGCATACTTAGAGGCGAATTAAAGATCTAAAGGGGGAGGGGATTTGCAATGGATTCCCCACCCAACCCACCACAACAGCATGGAACATTTTTCATGAATTCTCCTTCATCTTTCTCACTCCATTCTACACATAATGGAAGTGGCTATCGTATCGTATATATATTTATATGTATGTTTATGCGAGTGTGTATGTGTGAGTGATATATTTTATCGGGGTGCAATCAATTATTTTTGCTATTCATATTTACAACATTCGACGAGTTGCTTCGATCGGTGTAAAACATTCGATACGCACCAGTGCATATAATGTAGATATATAGATAGTTATGTATAGATACAGATACATTATTTCATGGATGCAAACATCACACATTATTTGCTCAGTCGATAAATAAATAAATACTTTTACACACACACAGAAAAAGAGGAATCAAAAATGTTTGCTTCAAAAGAATAATTCACGAAAAAGATTTCACACTGTTTTTTGTTTTGTTTTACTCAAAAAAGTATATGGAAAATATTAATTAAAAATTAAATATTATATTTCTGATCAAAATTTAGTAAATAGAAGAAATATATTTTAAGCTAAATCTTAAATGAAAATAATAAAAGTTTGCTCTAAAAAAGGAAAGGGGAAACCGCAACCAAATGTCGGGAAAAAAACTTAGATTTATATTACGCTTAATTGATTCGTTTTTGGATTGTTTATATTGATTAGGTTGTTCCTTTAACCCTACAAAAGCTATTTAGTTTACAATTTGTACAATCGCATAAGCGACTCGGGGCGGGGCGGGGCCTGGCCTATATCTTCCACTGACTTCACCCCCGATATTCGTGTTCATCTCATTTAAATCAATACGAAACTAAAAACTAAACTAAAACGAAAGAATCGTACTCGATTTATCGTATATATATGTAGAAATAAAGAAAGTATAGATCGGTTTTCTCGGCATTTTCTAAACTTATTCTAAAAGTACTTACGCGCTTCATGATCAGCGTACGATCTCCTGCCTGATCATCGTCATCGGGCGTTGGTGGCAGTGGCCGATTGGGTGGTCCTCCGCTTCCATGGCTGCCAAGGGGCGTTGTCGTATTGCCGTCCTCGGAGACGGGTCCCAGACCAGGCCTATATGAAAATTCGGGTCTGAACAAAACGGAAAACCAAACGAAAAACAACAAAAAAGGGGCGGCAAATCGTTTCGGTTGATGAATGAAAATGAGTGGGATGGGGAAAAGGGATTTCAGGTGGGATTTTAGTGTGAGGAGTTTTTGGTGGATTGATAAAGGATTGTCATGGATTGTATTGGGAGTATGTTGGAGGTGGTTTTTGGTACGATTTTTGGTTGGTTTCAATCAGGATCGGTTCAGGGTGTTGCGGGTGTAAAATGGATCGTTTAAACAAGTGAGAGACAAGAATGTTGTGAAGTTTGGGTTAGTATATAGAGAGAGAGAGAGAGAGACAGATGATTGATACGTGATCTACTTTCGAATGGCTTCTTCTTCTTGCTTTACTCTTTCACGCCCCCTTCTTTGTGTGTGTGTGTGTGTGGTACTTACAGTGGCTTGGGCGGATCGCTGGCCAACAGTGTGCCATCGTTTCGGGCACGATCGTTTGGCTCATCCGGCTCGCTGTCCGAATCGCTGCTGTCCAATGGATCCAACGGATTCACGGGCTGTCCCAGATGATTGTTGGACTGCTGTGGCAGCACGGCGGCTGGCTTCGATGCGGATGATCCTATGCCGCCGCCGCCGCCACCCGAGGCGGACCCAGACCCCCGATTGCTGCGTGGTGGCGCCTCCGGTTGGGCCGCCTGCTGCTGTACCCCTGCACCGGCTGCACCTCCGGCTCCGGCTCCAGCTGCTGCTGTCTGTGGCTGCGGCTGTTGAGAGGAGACCACGCCCAATTCATTTAATTGTGCTGCTAACACATCCAAATGATCCTACAGTTTTATATAGTACATTTGTTTGGTTTTGTTTCGTTTGTTTTCGGTTTTGTTTGGAGGATTTTCATGTGTGTTGTGTGTTGTGTGTTTGTGTGTGTTGTGTGTAGTTTGCACATGATACCACAGTTTTTTGTTTGTTTATCGTATTGGGGGGAATGGGGGAACGAAATATAATTGAGAATTAGATTGATTTTCCTTCAGCATAAGAGTTTCTTTCTTATAGATACAGAAAACTGGCAAAAACTTCTTGCACGACAGAACAGATTATTGGGTTACAGAGTTTCGAGATTGGGTTAGAAATTTTTAGGAATTTACAGGCACAAAGATTCTGTTAGAAATTTAGCTTCAGATGCAGGAAAATCAGTAGAGGAATTATACAGCTTACGAACTCATTATCTTCCGTTCTATAGCCTTTAATTATTGCATAAATGGAACAGTATTCGGTTAGAAAGCTTCGTTAGTGGATCCTTAGATCATTAGTTGTGGCTTACAATGACGGAGAAAACTCTGTTCAAAGTTAGTTGAAAGTCAACTCCATTCTCTGCTACTTTAAGGATTAGTTTTTGGTTGATTTTCGTTTCAATTTGTTACGATTTGTGGGTGGTGTTAGTGGCACGTGCAAAAGTGTTTGTTTGTTTTGTTTTTGGGGGGGGAATTACGGGTGGGTTACGAGTGTTTTGTGTACCTCCATCTAGTTTTCGATTAATTTTGAATGTGATTTCAAAACGGGGTTCGAGGATTGAGGGTTTTACAGATGGATGGAAAACAATCATTATGTGAAGTGTGTTGCAGAACTTTGGAGAGTGGAATAAAAAAATAAATGTTGTAATTTTCAACAAATTGATTTCCCAAACTCCAGGTTCTCCAACGCACTTCACACATCAATGGAAATGTACACTATAATTTATATATAGGAAAAATTCAAGCAGTTAAACGTAAAAACAGAAAACAAAAGAAAAAGAACAAATGCGAAACAGGCGGCGGCTCAGCGCTGGCAGCTTCCTCAACTGAAAATCGTTGGACAGACATACCTCAGGTCTCCTTGGTGGTAACTGTTGTTGTTGTGTGTTTCGTGTGTATTTGGTTGTTGTGTGTTGGAAAATCATACGTTGGATTTACGATACGAGCGACGGCAACGGGCAACGGGCAACGGGGGGACAACGGGGTTAAATATTGATGAGCATAAATCATAAATCGATGGAGAGATATATTCATATATAGATTGCATATTTGTACATGAAAATAAAAGAAGAATACGAAATATTCGGGGATTACTTATGATAGCGATAGAAACATAAAAAGATCGAAACTACTTCTGAATGGGAGGACGCAACATTACGGGGCGGGGGAGGGTGATATGCAGATGCAGATGCAGATGCAGATACATGAAAGGGAGGAGCTCTAAAGCTCTTCTTTTTGCTAGAGTCATTGCTCTGGAAGCAGATCTATCAGGGATGGGGTGGGGCTCCCGCTTGCTGCTGCTTATCAGCAGCTTCTCTCAGAGTTTCCCTGCGTTAATCGCACTCTACCGATACGCACCGATGGCTTGAAGTTATTCTGCGAATTGCGCTGCTGCTGCTGTGGCGTCTGACCCGTTGGCTGATCGCCTCCTCCTCCTCCTCCGCCACACTTCGGGGTCGGTGGCAATGGCCGATTGGCATGCGGTGGATCTGGCACCACAATCAGACGCTGTGGGATTTGTGGCCTTGCCGGCGGACCTGGCTCCTCGATCTGCTGACGCTGCACAAACCAAACAAGAGAGAGAGAGAGAGATTAAATCGAGGTTATACTGTGGGCTCTGGCTGCTCCTACCGATGGCGGTTTCTGCTGTCGATTTGCCTGCGGCTGCTGCGCCTGTGCCTGCTGCTGCTGCTGTTGTTGTTGTTGCTGCTGCTGCTGCTGTTGTTGTGCGGCTGCCGCTGCCTGCGCCTGTGCCTGTTGCGCTGCAAATGCCGCTGCCACGTGGGCCTCGGCTGCTGCCGCCGCTGCGGCTGCCTGTCGCTGCTGTTGCTGGTGCAACTGCGCCTGGGCGGCAGCATGATCGGCCGCTGCCTGCGCATGGGCGTGGGCCATCAGCTGGTGGTGCTGCTGCTGCTGCTCGGCCGCGAGACGACCCTCCTGGATCTGCTGGAAGTTGCGGCGCAAGGTGTCGCCGCCCGGGGCCTGGACAATGGAGCTATGCTCGCCCGCCAGCTGCGGCTCATCGTCGTCGTTGTCGCTGCCCGAGTAGCGATAGTCCTCGCGCTCCTTCTCCTGCTTGCGCTTCTTGCAGCGATCGATGTGGTCCTTCAGCTGGATGCGCACCTGTCGGTCCGTCGGCTGATCCTTGATGAAGCCATGCTTCAGCAGATTCTCGGTATAAGGCCGCTGATGGTAGTCCTTCACTGTAAACGTTAAAGAGTGCCAAAGGATTAGCCTGGGAGTTGCCTTTCAGTTGGTTTCGTGACTCACCCAACACCGTGTCAATGAATCCGTGGAATTTCTTGGACCATTTCTTCGATTTGAGGCGCGGCGGTGAGTTGCGTGGAATCAAGAAGAGGGCGCGCATCGGATGCAGATCGCACAGCGGCGGCTGTGACTCAGCCATCTCCAAGGCAGTGATCCCGAGCGACCACAGATCCGAGCGATTGTCGTATGTGGCATCGGGATTCTCGTCGCAGGCAATGACCTCCGGTGCCATCCAATAGGGAGTACCTGTAGACAGCACAGAGAGTCAGGTTTAATCCCACAGAGAGTCCAGGGTATGACTCACCAATGAATGTATTCCTTCTGCCTATCGTGCGATCCAGCTGCGCGGAGACACCAAAGTCCACCAGCTTCACCTCTGCATTGTCTGTGAGCAGAACATTCTGGCCCTTGATGTCCCGATGGATGACTTTGTTCGAATGCAAGTAGCTCAGGCCGCGCAGTATCTCGCGGCATATGTAGGCGATCCACTCCTCCTTGAGGCTCTGTCCCTTGGTGGATTTCACCAGATCCGTGACAGAGCCAGCGCCACAGTACTCCATCACCAGCCACAGCTGATCGTCCTTGCCGGGCGGCGACTTCTTAATGAACGCCCCATAGTAGGTGGCAATGTTGCGATGATTTGAGTATTTCTTCAACACATTGATCTCCAGCTTGATCTCCTCCTCCTCGTCCTCGGTGACATCCATCACCTTTATGGCAGCCAGTTGTCCAGTCTTTGTGTGACGGCCCTGCAAGCAGATGAAGAAAGTTGAGTCTTTGTTTAAGCTTTTGGTTTAATCTTTTGTGGGGGCCAAAGATCGAGGTCAAATGTGGGAGGCATGGGCATGGGCACGGGCATGGGCATGGTGTGTATTTTTCATTGCTTTTAAAACGTTTTATTACTGCGGCATTGAAGGCTGTTTAATGCACTTCCAGAGACCACACAGAGACCCCAACGATTGCCGATGTTGATGTTGATGTTGATGTCGATGACGTTACTGATGGCCATGAAGGCGGCTGCCACAGCCACTGCACCCCACAGACGGAGGCAGCGACAACAAACTGCGACGCATGAAAAGTGATTATTTAAACAAAAGCCATAGCCAACAGCCAACAGCCAACAGTCTACAGGCACAACAATATATAGCAACTAGACTTTCAATGAAATCAAACAATAGAAGGCACTCACAGTGGGGAAACGAGAAGTAGGGGGAGCAGGAGCAGAGACGCTGTCTGGAGTGCAGGCTGAAAGGAGAAGGTTGCCGGTGCTGCTGCTGCTGCTGATGGAGGTGGCATCAACCTCAAGTGTGGTAATGTCTGCTCCTCAATCAGAGTGTCAAGTATTTAAGGTAAACATCAGCCCACAAATAGTACGAGTATCTGTCTCTCTCTCTCTCTCACTCCCAATGCCAGATACCAGATACAGTGACTAATCGGAGGGGGAGGGCGGTGGAACTGCAGGCAGATTATTTACAGCGAAGATCCATGCTTGTTTGGAACCTTTTAAAAGGTGACTAAGAGTCGGGAATCAAAGTAGAAAGAGAAGTGCAAAAAGGAGCTACATTAGAGGATGATCTCAACCTGTTTTCTGCTCAAAGAACATTAAAGAGAACTCGTCTAAAGTCAAGGGACTCAGTCCCTAGCTGGAGAAACTTTAGCTCTTCCCCTTGGAATGGCTGAAAGATGACTAATCGAAAGGCAAAGAATGTGCTAAACTTTCCCCTTGAAGAAATTAATATTCTCCACTGAAACTTTAATTTTCTCAAATTATTTAGCCATTTTTCAATTCATCATTTTATAGATTTATTTTGTTTTTATTCCTCAACAATCTCCATCCAACCCCAAACAATTACCCGGTGTACCTGCAGTTTCAATTAGTTGCCACTTTAATCAAAAACTTGCAAATTGTTTTTTATGCCACAGGTACCCTGCACTCCTCTCCTGCTCTAAGCCCGTTTAAGCCAAGCTTTTAGACAAGAAATTGAGTTGTCCTGACCAACCGGTTGCCGGGTTGTCTCCCTGTTCCACGCTCCGATTAGATGCTGCATCCTCTAGAGAATGAATGGCTTTGGCTCTGGGCCTGTGGCTGGTGCTGTTTCTGGCGCTGTCCCTGTCTTGTCGTGTCGCCTTTAAGCCGCTTTTCAAGTCACTTTACATTTAATACAGTTTTAATTGAGTGAGTGAGCAGAAAGCGTCTCCCCCAGTCTCTCCAGTTGGTGCCCCATTCCCAGCCATAAATCAGAATGCTTAACGAGAGATGATAGCAATTTAAGTGACGATAGCCACCGCCGATGTGCCGATGTGCCGATGTGACGGTCATGCCTGATGATGCGCTACAAACCATCCATCTAACCCATCTATCTGACAATCTGACTATCTATCTATAAAATGTCTACGAGACATGCTTTGCCCGTTGGCTTTTAGTCATCGTCTTACTCTACATCTTTCACTTTGCCAAAGCGGGAATATTCGTGGGGGACTTGGCTTAATGGATTAAATTTGGATTTCGAGTAAGGAAAATCTTTAAAATAAATGGGATTACATTTACAGCACACACTTCTGTTGTATGATATGATATATGACTATATTCTATTACAAGATAATTGAATTGTCGCTGTTTTCCAAGGAGTGTTCTCTTTTTCCAAAGGTTCTTTTCTCTTCCTATTTCTGCATCCTCCTAATTCCCGTGAGTATTCCCAATATTCGTTGCTACCCAACTCAATCCTCATTTATTGATTACCAAAACAAGGCGTTACTCCGTGGCTGGTGAAGATTCGATCAAAATGTTATTAAAAAACTGCCTGGAAGCATCATTAAAATCTTGCAACTTCTGGCAGCAGCAACAAGCAGCAGCAGCGACCACATCGTTGCATCGCTGATTCTAACTGTTGTGGCATGCAGCAACAGCAATGTGCAACACCGGGCAGATTCACTACGCAAATTAATGACATGCACTAATGGAGCCTGAAAAACGACACAGAAAATTGTCGAGAGCGAGAGGAGAAATCGATTAGGCAGGCCATTAAAAGGAGGCAAATGGGAGTGGCATGCACGTTGCACGTTGCACGTTGCATGTTGCAGGTGTTGTGCGGTGTTTGTTTCGGTTAGCAGGAAATGTTTGTTTGTCATCAGTTTGGTGGCCAAATGAAAGACTTAAAGACCGATGGAGTCGGTCGATTGGTTGATTGCGGCAATAAAAATACTATGGAAAAATATTTGTGAATCATTTCGGAGAGAAGAGTGCCCCACTCCACAAAGCTTTAAAGCAAATACATAGAGATAGAGAGAGAGAGAGAGACAAATAAACAAAAGCCGAAAACAAACCCAAAAAGGCATATGCCATATATTTATGGAAAAGCAAAAGCAAAAACAAAAAACTCTCCCTCCTCCTCTCCTCAAAGAAATCGCTGAATTTGTACAAATAATCAACAAACACAACAAAAACAACAAATGTGAAAATCTTTTCAAAGGTAAAGTCAACAAAGAGAGGGAAGCAAAAAGGGGAGCGCGGATCGTTTCATATTGGAGAATGGAATGGAACGGAATGGAATGGGCATCGTGTGGCAGTGGTGGGGCTTGGCTCTGGGGCTCGCCCCTCTTCTGTGAAGTGGAGTGCAGCTGTCCCCACGATTAGGGTTTGGATTTGCCTACCTATGGCAACTCCCTGAAAGATGGTTTACAATTTCCAACACAAAACCCAACTAAAATCAAAGCAAAAGGCAAACAATCAACTCGATGAAATTATATCCATACAGAGGAGAGCCCCACAAATACAAAGGCAGATTTATATGTGCATAATGCATATAGGAAGACAGAAAACAAAAACTGCATAATCAGACAGCAAATTATTCTCATATTTAAACATACACACACACACACTTATGTATACTCGCACTCGTAATCATAATCGCATTCATATTCATATTCATAATCGTATTCAGATTCCCTCAGAAAAAAATGATTTGGATCGTGATTCGTATACGTAAGATGCCAAAACGCATTGTCCGACGCCCCAAGACCCCCTCGCACCCCTCTCTAAGCTGCCTTCTACGCCCCAGAAAAATGTTGCAAAAAATTGTAAGCCAAAGGCATAAAAAAAAGGTACAGAAAATGCAGTCGCAGCTGACGTTGACAGAAAAAATTCATTTTTTTTCCACTGCGTGCCGCGTGATAAGAGAATAAAAAGATAGAGAGAGGAAGAGCAAGGGAGGAGGAGGTGGTGACAGGGCAGAGGGAGTAAGCAAAAGTAAATATAAAACTCGAGAGACGGAAATTTGACATTTTATAAGAGAGGAAAAATGCAGTCAAGTGCCGCTAAATCCCAGTAAAAATTGGTCCAAAAAAAAATAAACTTTTGGACATGTTTTTCAAGTTTTGTCCCAACTTTGGAGCATGGAAATCGCTTGAAACTTTGCAAGAAAGTTGAGGAAAAAAGGGAAAAAGGAAAGAAATAATCTAGCGTATATAGAGAGGATGAGAAGAGCAGGGAAAAAGCGACAGAGACACAGAGAGTAATATGATTGTTCCGCTTAGAGATAACACCAGAAAATAATTCCAGAATGAACGAACGGCGAGAGAGGAAAACATGTGTGGATGAGGAAATGGAATCACATATAAGCACATGATAGCACTCCGAATAGTTAAGACTGGAAAAGGAAATGGAAGAGCTACAAAGAAGAAAAATCGATGGAAATAAAGCCACAAAATGCAACTAAAATATGATCAAAGGAGAGAGCAAAATCCAACTGAAAATGCATAGAATTTATGGGCTAGGAAGACCTGATCAGATCAATCCACCTAAAAAAAATAACATGGCAATCGAAGGTATAAAATATGCTACAATTGAGTGTGGAATGAGGAGACTTTTGTTATCTAGAAACGAAGGAATGCAAGACCGGAACAGAGCAGCAATAAAATAGTTGAAATGATTTGAGGAATTGGAAATTGCAAGGAATTGTGAAATTATCAATGAAAGATTAGGCACACATGGGGAATATGTGGGGAAAACTATGACTTAAATTCAAGCTTTATCTGTAGAAGAACCTCCTATAAAAATGCAGTGCACAAAATAGTTCCCATTTAAAGCTCTATTCTATAGACTGTCGACTGTCGTTTTGGCCTGTTAATATTTTGCCTGCACCGAAGAACCACCATTTGCACCCTTTTGGTAGCTGAGATAAAAAAGGAAAAAACTGGGACATCAAACAAAAAGTGTGTGTTTGCTGTTTGCTAACTGGGTTAACCGTCAGCAGGTGGAGGTGGAAGTGAAGGCAACACTTTGAACTGTGTGTGTTTCCACTTGAGTCCCGAACCCGAACCAGAATCTCCCTCCCCCGAAGACCCCAGACTCCACTCCAGACACCACTCTACACTACACTCTGCTCCCCGGCATCCAATCTGCCTCTTTGCCTGCCGCTGGCTGGTTGGAAAATTCAATTTAATGAATATGCAGCCAAGTGCTAAAAAGCCTGTTAAGTGGTTCAATGAAAGCATGGCAAAGGGAGCCCCAGACTGAACGAGAGAGAGAGTGAGTGAGTAGTTCCAGTACTAGTTCAGGTAACCTTTGACCCACAGACATGCAGCAGCGGCAGCAGCAGCCACGGAAAAACAGTTAAAAAATACTTTGAAATTCCCCGGACCAAATGCGGCGATAAATTTAAACAAATTTCAAGCACTATTTCAGATTTTATGAGGCAGCTGCAGGCACTAAGACCGCGCACAGACAGTTACAGTCGGATATGGCAGCCAA